GCAGTAGATGCATATATTATAGCAACAAGTTGACCACAAAAGCATCTGTACTTTTCTTTCTTTTCACTTTCAGGTGTTGGGAGGGTCTTTTTATTTGTAGTGCTGCTTCTCATTTGCTTACTCTGTGGTTGCCTAATTCGTTGTACGCGTCAATAGTGCTTCCTCAGCAGCAGTGTAAAACTCTTCTTTCACAGTGAACCCTTTTATTGTATCACCAGGCAATTGGCATGACCATGCAATTGTTTTAGGGAACTGACACAGTAAAAAAATTAAAAAGAACCAAGTGGGAAAATGATGAGGTTTTGGTTGGATCAGTTTTCCAGTCCACCTTACCCAATGGCTGCAGGGCAGTTCTCCTAGGACAGTGGTTGGGTTGGAGACAAAACGTAGGAAGTGGTTGTTTGGTGGTGGCTGTTGAATCTCATTTCTTTCATTAAAGAAATTGCATAAAATTGCAGTGAAATATTTCTCCTCAATTTCCCAGGGTGTGTTTTCTGTGCTGTTTTAAGGGGGCCTAATTATTGCACAGAGGATCTTTGTCTAACTTTTAGAACAGTAATGAAATCACTGCTGAAGAAGTTTAGTAAAAATTGCTTCAACTTTGCAGTCATTGCAGATTTATAAAAAAGGAAAACTGAAATCACTTTTTTTCCCAAAAAAAATTACTTAGATTTGTGCTTTATAAGTCAGCTTGACTCAAGCATCTGTGTATTGTGTGTAAGTGGCATGCCTTCAAAAACAAACATGTCAAGTTTATCTGGGTGCAGAACTTCTACTGGGGAGGTGTGTGCCAAAGATCAAATGAGAGCTGTATTCCAAGGGTAGATAATGCCTAGTTTGTGTTGATAAATCAGCTGAAGGGCTGAACTTTAGCCAATAAATCTAGATTTAATTTGCAGCATGAAGGGAGAAAATCAGGTCATTTTTTCTTATGTTCAATTTTTATTTCAGGCTGATTGATTTAATATATATGGCTGTAATATACCTGATCAAGAATGGCTGTAATATACCTGATCAAGAAGCCTTAAATACCCAGTTTTCTAATAAACTCAGCATTATTTGTTATGAAGTCAATGATTTGTGCACTTGAGTAGAAATCACTTCTCTAAATAACTTCAGGAAAACTTAACTTCTTTTGAAAGATATTGGTGACAACCGTTCTGCAAGATCCAAACTTTAATTTAGGGATTCTCTGCTCATGCTGTTTAGCTGCAGAAATCCTTTGACAAGGGCATGTTACCCTACTTTTGCAGCTGAGTTTGAGAATGACGTTAGAGAAAGAACTGTCTAATAAGTGTAATTAGGAAACTGTGTGCTTTCTGCACTGCTTTGCTGGCTGGGTATAGTTACAAAGCAAAATTTCTTTGCTGGGCAGAAATCTGGATGTACAGATCAGTTTTGTGTCAGGAAGAGGCTCTGTGACCAGCACCGTGGTTAGAGAAGTGTTAAAGGCGTCTCCGTTCATGGACAATTAAGTTCAATGTCTGTGCCGAATTTTCCTTGGAGAGATGTGTAATTAAAATTTCTCTGGAAGATCTGCTTGGTTGTGGTCTCACCAGCTAATTATGTCATGACAGGGTTGTTGGGTAGTTTCAAATGGCCTTTAGTACTTGCAGACATGAAACTTAGGAAATCTGGGTTTTGTTCCCAGCTCTGACACTTATTTCCTGCTGTGACTACAGTCAAGTCACAAAGGTTGCCGGGGATGTGTCCTTTTCCAACCACAGCTCTGACAACTGAAGGGTTTTTGTCCCCAACTTGCCCTGCGTGTGCATTGTGATCTGCTGACTGCACAGCTTCTGTGCTTCCTCTGTGGCAAATGTCAACAAAACGGAATTAAATGTGTATAAACTGCAACTTTAAGCTGTTTTAGCTGCACAACTGCACCTATAAACTTTTATGGCCTGAGTTTCTGATTTGGATGATAGATTTCTTGCTTATAATCAGTTGAGTCTGCTTCAGCAGAGGTATTCTTCTCTGATGGAAGTGCTTGTGCAGTTAAGCTGGAGTTGTAGAGAGGTCTTTTCATATGAAAAATGTCATCAAACTCATCAACTCTTCAGGTGCTCAGATAGTGGCCTGAAAAGGGCATATGAAAAATTCAGTGATACCCTTAGTCTCTCTGAAATATTTCATTTATCTTTTAATAACTTTCAGTAGGTGGCATGGAGATTAACATTTATCACTGTCAGAAAGAAGACTGCCACTTGTTTTTTTGCTTTTTCTGGTTTTTTCCCTTGCTTTACATCTGTTTGCTTTAGAGTGGAATTTTTTCGGCTGTAGAGTTTGACTTTCCAAAGTGAGGATGTCTGGCATTTTGTGAGTGCCAGACATTTTCTGAGATAGAAGGGAGCTGTGTACCTAGTCCTACTAATTAGGCACGTGTTTTCTTGCTTGTAAAACACTTATTGTGGCATCTTCTGGGCTGATTTAGAAATAGTGTGTCACTAATATATCCAAAATGCTTCTGCTACAAACACTGTTCTCTCTTAAATTTTGTGTCAGCACTTAATGGGTTCATTTTTTTTCATCTTACTTTCATGCTTGTATTTTTTTTCTTAAAGCTGTGAACAGTTCCTTTCTTTATGCTTTTGGCATCCTATGTACTTTTTCCTGTCCTTTCCCCTATCTACTTTTTGTGTCGATGCTCCACTGTTATCTTTAAACAAGTTTTCACCCTGGAGCATGTGACTGGACCAGCCTTCCACTGCTAGTCATCTAAAGTTTATTCTCCTTCAAATCTCTTTGCAAAATCTCCCTTCCTTACTTTCCTCCCTTCTTTCTTCTGGACCTCTTTCTTTCTGAAGCAGAATGTTTGTGTAGTAATGATGCCAAATACCAAAATGTGTATGTTTGAGAGGATGTTTTAATTATTCCTTTACTTTAAATGACACCATCCTGAATGCGAACATATCTAATGCCCTGTGGTAGAGAGATTAATGGATTAAAAGAAAATTCTTGATTGGTTATATGAACCACTTTTTATGTCACTCATTGTGCTCAGTGTTCATCATGGGTAGTTTGCTAGTACAGAAGTAGCTTCTTTTGGAGTTCTCTGAAGTGTCAGTTTTAATTTGACATGAAGTGTCAAAGTGCCTGAGTGATTTCACGAGTGAAGCAGTGCAACTCCAATGTAGTTTCCTCACCTGCAGCAGTGGAATTGGTAATGCCCTTTCTAGCTGTTCCACCATTTATCCTTTCACTTGGCATCAGAGAACAAGGCACTTGTGTATACAGTGCAGAGTGGGTTCTGAGATGTGTGTGATGCTGAAATGCACAACTTTACAGACAATCATTGATCCCTCATCGAACAGCTTAACAGTCCAGATTTAGTTTCACTGGTTTATTTCATCTCTTAAAGCTATCTGCTTTATATTTTAGCAAGTTCCTTGGCCTGTTGTTGGAATTAGTACTGTTTTATTATCTTGCTTGTTGTCTTTTGCCCTCACCTGCTTCTCCAGGTCAGAACATTACTGCTAGGAAGGATTCCGGTGAGTCATGTAGCCCCAGGAAAGGCTCAATTAAAGAGAGACTTGAATGACCTAGATATAAGCCCTTGTGTTACAGAGACATTGCAACCTTCCCACGTGACTTTTTTTGGTTTTTAATTATTCCTTTCCATAAGAAAGGAATTTTTATTTGTTTCCCAATATCCAGACTTGAGTTTTGCTACCTGCAATGTAAGCCTACCTACATCTGTTCTTGTTTGTCCTTCAAATTACCCATTTTCTTGATGGAACAGTCTTTTGTATATCAGAAGATTTGCTAGGATATCCCAAGTTTCCTCTCCTCTAGGCTGAATGACTCCAGTTTGTTTGCTCTTTGCTTTTCAGATTGTTCAGCCTTGCATTATATGTCATGTTTTCAGGATCTCTTGTGGCTTATGTTCCACTCCTCTGGGTGCTGTCCAGTTGGTTCACAGTGCTTCAGCAGTGTCTTCCACTCCTCCTCCGGCCTCCTCAGCTCTGAAGGCCTTTTTCTCAGTGGGATGACACAGCTGACTCACATTCAGCCTGTGATCTGCTATTGCCTTTTAATATTTTTCTACAAAATGCCTTTATGGGCTTTTATTGTCATTTTCTAGATGCAGTTACCTGTGGCTAACTGCTGGATCTTTCAGTATTCTCTGCCAGTGGTTGTTCAAGATAATTTTGAATTTTTTTCTTGTTATTTGGTGTTCTTGCAGTCCCAGGGTGGTGCCATATGTAAGTTTAACACCTGTGTTCCCCTTTCCCTCAGAGAGGCAGTTGATGAAAATACTGACCATAGCCCCAACCGGACTTTGGTTCTAAGGAACTTCACTCAGATCTTCTTTGGCAGGAAGCTCTTGATAAGTATCCCTGAGTATGCTTTTTTTCCCTATGACTTTGTTTTCAGTAGTGCTACCACTCATGTATGAATTGGTGGTAATGGCAAGAAATCACATTTGAGATTGGACAAAATGTTTGTTCTTGGAGATAGAACTTGTTTGGAAAAATATTATCATCTAGTCAGATGCATATGCTTTTGGTTTTTAGCTTGTGAGAATCTTTTCAAAATCCAGTTATCACAGCATACTGTATAACTTGCTTGTTTTGACCTTTTATTTTTCTCAATAGTTGTTTTATTAGAGTTATCAGGAGCACAGCTGTGAGGTTTTCTAATTTATATATGTTTTCATCTCCATTTTTGTTTCTTTTTAAGTTTCATAGGGCTTCAAGTTTGCATGGTAGCAAGTGCTCTATACTTGAGACAGAATTTTTTCTCTTCATTTTTCGGAATGAGTACACAACCTCATAACTGAGATTTATTTTTTCCCCAATTTTTGAAAATTCTTTGGACACAGCCTTCAGTTTACACATTACTGTTCTTTACTATTCAAAAGCCACTCTTCTAAAACTGCTGCTTGATAACTGGGTTTCATTTTTCAGCACAAGGATAACAATTCTGAAAAATAGCAGTTAATTAAATAGTGTCTCTTGATCACCTTTTTTTTTCTTAAACTTTTTTTTTAGGGTTTTGACCCACCACATCAAAGCGATACAAGAACTATTTATATAGCAAATCGTTTCCCCCAGCATGGCCATTATGTTCCTCAGAAGTTTGCAGACAACAGAATCATATCATCCAAGGTAAGGAATCAGTTCTTGTGGGATAACCACTTGATGTGCTACTTAAGAAGTTGTGTAGCCAATGTGCATGCATGTATTATGTCTAGTGGCACATACTCAACATTCAAAATGAAACAACCTCTAAACTTCCTTGAGGGAAAGCCAGGTTGCTTCTTATGTAGTTTTTCTCCTTTTCTCATGTTTCTTTCCTCAAAACCTGTTTAAGTACAGAGCAATTGAACATGATGGTCAGGATTTCTGAAGAAAAGTAGGTTTTAAACCAGTGTTGCCCATGTCTGGATGTGATGCCACAAACTACTTAAAAGGAAGGATGAAGCTAGTTGTGATTTTTTTTTTTAAATAGCCAAACTGAAAGCTGCATAAAATAAATCAGCACTGGACTGCAGTTGCAGATTCCCTCCTAGTGTGTCCTTGGATTGAAATCAATAGAACTGATGGTGGGGATGTGTCTTGTCGCTGTAGTGTTGGAGAGAATGCTACAGCTGCAAGGATTAATTTCTTCTTTGCTACCCAGGATACAGGCAGCCAAGTGACTCCAGCTGCCCCTGTCCCAGTTGGTAGGAGAACATTTTAACTTGGCCTGTAAAGCCAATGCAGTTGCTGCCCTTGCTCCCCTGCTAGCTGTACTTAAAGCAGAAGGGAAAGAAAACAACCACAAAAACCGGATACAGCAGTTCTGTGTGGGAGAAGAGCAAGACCAGAAGAAGGTTTGGGGGTGGGAGGATGGAGAAAGAAAATATTTAGGTTAAGAGAGTTTAATGGGAGCAGAACTGAATTTCACTGAAAAATTGTTCAGTGTGTTGTAATTCTTCTCTCTCTCTCCTTTTTTCCCTTCAGTATACAGTGTGGAATTTTGTCCCAAAAAACTTATTTGAGCAGTTCAGAAGAGTAGCCAACTTTTATTTTCTGATTATATTTTTGGTTCAGGTAAGTTGAACAATACTCAGGAAATTGCAATTTATGTTGTAAATGCTGCCACTGATTTTTGTTCTAGGAATTTAACTTCACCACTTTTATTCTGTCTATAAAAGAACACATTTCTAGTTTCTCTGGGAAAAGAACATAACTTTAAAAAGAATTATGTCCAAATTTAAGTATTATCCTGAGGTTTTATATTCATTAGTGCTAATGTATTTAAATGTGCAGCTTCAAAGTCCATTGTACTGCCAGCAAAGGGACTCAATTGTCTGCCTCAAAAATGCAATTTGAAATCTCTTAAGTTAGTAATGAAATTCCAGATATGCTCTTTATTTTTGTGGGCATTGCTGGTGTTTGAATAAACCAGGAGATTTACTCTGTGTTTTTAAGTAATGCAATGCAGACAAATAAGGCAGTGTGCTTGCTCTTGATCTGAGCAGAGATTAGTGAATATTCTCATGGTAGGTGGAATCTCACTTTTGTGACGCAGTTCTAAGATCCTCAAATTCAATTTGGTCGGATGAGATGAACACATCGATATTACAGTTAGCACTGACAGTTTCAGTTTTGAAGACATCAGTTGGTGCTGTTATTGTAATGCAGACAAATAAGGCAGTGTGCTTGCTCTTGATCTGAGCAGAGATTAGTGAATATTCTCATGGTAGGTGGAATCTCACTTTTGTGACGCAGTTCTAAGATCCTCAAATTCAATTTGGTCGGATGAGATGAACACATCGATATTACAGTTAGCACTGACAGTTTCAGTTTTGAAGACATCAGTTGGTGCTGTTATTGTTACAGTGTGGGTCAGAAGTATTGCTGTGGCTTTTGCAGCAGAGTATATTTCTATTAAGAACATCCACAAGTATATTATGACAGTCTGTGAATTTTTGTGATCTTTGCACCTCCAGCTCTGTAATTGTACTTGCATTCTGTGGGGCTATTCCAGGCTTAGTAGGTGAAGGATGAGTGGGAGAAAGGTTCTCAGGAGACATAGTTACTTGTGAAAGATCAATCAGTATTTGAGATGGAGACAAGATTTTGGGGTACACAAACTTTTCTTGCATTGTAAAACAGAATGCTTTGAACATGTGCAGCCCTCCACAGTGATTAACCAACACAGTATGCATCTGAAAACGATGGCACCTCATTTGGCAAAAACCAGAGACTGAAGAATTCGTAAAATTTGCCTGTGGTGGTGCAAGATGTCAGTAGCAGGGACAGTTCTGCAGTTTTTAATCCACTGCCTCCTGTGTCCCTTGATCTGTTTCTTTCACATTTAGAAAGAAGAATCTTTCTAGGCTGAGAGTTCTTGTGTTGGGAATTAGTAAAATCATGTAGTTCTAACTTAGTCTTAACACTGTGTGTTGTCTATCACGTCTTCCTAGTTAAGAATATTGACTGTGTCATTCCTGTTGTGATGTTTTATGCTGTTTAACATATTGTAGCATGAAGAAGATGGGGCTGTGCTGGGGATGAACACAAATGTTACTTAAAGTACCCCCTGACACCTTTGCATTTGTTTCTTTTTAATGCAGATTTACCTCTTCAGTTCAATTTTGTCACATTTCTTTCAAACTGGTAGATTTCAGTCCTGTCAAAATGTGATGTCCATGAACAAATACTGATCTAAAGGCATAACTTTTATTCTTAGTGTAATCCTGTTCCCTCAGTTCTTGACAAGTGGATGTCCTCATGTGTATGGGAAATGTCATCTATGTGTCTGTGTTCTTGGAAACCAAACAGGAGAAAGGCTGCAGTCATTTTTGTCCATTTGTTAGAATGAAATTCTGTTTTCATTCGAATCCCACTTGGAAGTTCATTAATATCTAATACTTTTTTCTTTTTCTAAGGCAAAAGTGCCTTTCAAGTTGATCACCATGGTATCTGTCCTGTGAACCTCATGTGACCAAGACACAGTGTCTGTCATTACCACCTTATTCCACCAGGGATGGCAAGTTCTTGTGTGATTTAAACATATGCAGCACAGTCCAGTCCACACTGTTCACTGCACATATGCATGCCCAGAACATGGTGACAGACTGTGTTTTGGTCACATGAGGCTCCACACCAGGTGTGTGATGGTAGAGGGCCATGGTGTTCTGGTGAAAGAAGCAAAGGGAGCAGGAGACCATGACAATTCCACCAGCACAAAACCTGCTTCATTTTCATACATCAGCCTCTCTTGAGAAAGTATATGAGAGTATAGGTGACAGAAATGTAATGGTTAACCCTATCCAGCCAAAAAGCAGATGCATTTAGCTTGGGTTTTCTTGGACAACATGCAGCCAAGCTGAAATCACAATGCTATAGTTGAAGAACAGACAATATTGCAGGCTAGGTCTCATTTTTGTTGTGTTCTATAAATTGTCTGTTTCGATGGAAAAGAAAATAAACTCTTGCATGTGTTGTAAGGTGGCATAATCTGTGTTTTCTCTGTGAGGTTTTTGGCTCTTAACAGAGTAAACTTCATGTATGATTTCTTTTTTCTTCTTTAATGATTCCCAAAGCAATGCCATAAGTCTCAGGTAAAGTGGATCAAATCAGTGTCTGTGGTTTGGAATAGTTCTTGTGTATATTTTCTTTACAGCACTTGACTGTGTTGTTTTTTTCCAGCAGCAGAGGAGAACCACTAACATCCCCCCACATACAGAGTCTTAGTGTGTACACTGCACTTTTGGCATGCTAGCAATGATAGCACAAGTTGTACAAACTGCATGTTAACTTGGGGGAACCAGAAAGATGCAGTCTGAAAAAAGTGTTCTTTAATATCCAAACCATTGGGAATTACTGTTTTTAACTTTATTTTCACTTCCAAAGTGCAAGATGTTAATCTCTACATTGCTGTTAAGCAGTAGATTGTATAGAGTGTTGAAGCAGCTTCATGAAATGTAGATTTCCTTCCTTTGTAATATACTTTTGAATTCATCTTTCTAGGATGAAAATACATTTTTTTAGTAAAGACTGTTAAAATTGTCACATGCATTACAAATGTGACTAAGGCTGCTCTATGCCCTAGAACCTTTGTTTGCATCATTATTGACATGTATTATTTAGTTGTCAGAAACTGAGTTTTGCTCCAGAAATACTGCAGGAAGTGCAGTAAAAATACTCAAGGTTATAATGAGGGGTTTGAAAAATAGTTGTCATCTTGCTTCATTGGGGTTTTTTTGGAAAGTACAACTATAAATATAAAATTTAGGCTAATTTTCTAATTTTTTCTCTTTTAGCTCATGATAGATACCCCTACCAGTCCTATTACCAGTGGATTGCCATTATTCTTTGTCATTACTGTGACAGCCATAAAACAGGTAAAGGGGAAAAAATCTTGTGGCATGAAGTCTTTCAGAGGTGAAGTTACTCAACAAAGTCTGACCAAGATAATGTTAAGATACTGAAAATACATAAAAAGGTCTAATTATTAGGATTTTGTATTTAATGTTTCTTGTTAGATGCTTGAGCTTCAGTATTTGGTTAGTTGTCAAGCACTCAGTGACTCACTGCAGTACCCTTAAATGGACAGTGAATGACTGTCAGGCAGCATTTTTGTCTAAACATTACGTGTCACTTGTTATAAGACGTTTGCTGAAAGCTCCTCACTTATTCCTTTGGCACACCTCGCTGCATATTAAAACCAATCCTCCCACATCACACACTGAGGAGGGAGCTTGGGTAGGTGAAGCAATGGTGCAGACCATGTTTGTCAGTAGTTAAAAGGCAAATTTTGCCCCAAGGAGTGTGTTTCATGGTGTGAAATACGTGTTCACCATAGTCCTGTTCCAGGTAAAAGGTCCAGTTTAGAAAGCTTCTGGTTTTGTTTTCTTCTTTTTTTGTTGCAGAAAATATTTTGGAGTGCTTTATAGCACTTGAAGTAAGAAAAAATCTTCTGAGTTTAATAGAAATCTTGTTCAAGCACCATGCTGCATTGTTCTGAGGCCTAGAACCCCTAGGTTGAGAATGTAAAATTAAAAGAACAATAAAGAAAAAAACTGTTTTCTTTAAGCCCTTAAAGCAAGAGGAGAAAGAAACAAGCTCATAAATAAAGAGGTGATGTGGCTGGAAATGATAATCTCTTCTGCAGGGAGGTAATTTTCAGGAACTATCCCCTTCAAAGGGTTTGACAGTGCTGTCTGGGGAAGAGATGCAGTCCAGCAACTGAAAAATAAGCAGGAGACTGTTATGGAGCTACAACTGGAATTTCAATTTGCCTTCTGTGCCAGTAAGACTGAAAGCCACACAGAAATAGGGCAAAAGTAAAAATAGTTCTAGCTGTCAAGCAGATAGAATAGTGTTTGGGGCAGAGGGGTTCTTAATGCCAGAGAAATTTTTGAACTAGCATTTCATCTTGCTGCTGTGCAATTTGTATATGTAGAGTGCTTTAATCCTATTCAGTTGCAGTTGTTACCATCACCCCCCCAAAAAATCACATGTTCAAGAGCTATAATCATAAGTAGGCAATGGATAATATTCCTTAAAGCTGTGTGAACTCAGATTATGAAACAGAGTTATAAATATTAGATCATTTTTTTCCAGAAAGAAGTTGGACTTGTGTAAGTCTAAAATAGTATGAAATAATATAACACCACCTTGTTTCCAGATGTCCAATCTTATATCAGGAAATTTAAGTATCTTACCATCAATTGCAAAGAGTAGAGATTCTGTCCTTCCTTCTGGAAGCTTCAAATCATTCAGGACTTGCCAAGCATCAGGAGATTTTCTGGGTGTCTCAGTATCTCTGCAAGGACTGTTTGGAACCACCTAAACTGATTTAATGGACTCTCGTGTTTAGCCTACCTGCTGCAAAGTAGGCAAACAATATTCTCAAGGTATCAGCTTGGAAGGACAATTTAGTATGGCATTTCCAAGAAGCTGCCCTCAGACAAGGAAGAAAGATAAATCTTCACTGAAATGCAGAGGGGAAAATCCCCAGTGTTGTTTCCAAGTCAGCCCCCATTTTCTCTCAAACTAGAAGTGTAATAGGAAGCAGATTTTAAGGAAAGAAACCCCTTTGGAAAGCTGCAGAGCATTGGTTCTATACACAGTTATATCAGGATAAATGTTAAACTATAATTTAGTATTCCCTCAAAAGATGAAGGGGGAAAAATAGAAGCATTAATCATATGCAGGTTTGAGAAGCTTAGCAGTGGGTGGAAAAACTCTCCTCTGCTTCCAGAAGACCAGCTAATGTGGCACCTCTAGCAAACCTCAGAACTCAGCCTTATTTTAATCTTAGCCAGGGAGAACAGAACTTTTTCTTCACAGAAGTGTAATTGCACCTAGGTCAGAAGAAGGACATACAAGACTGCAAAGTGATGCAACTCATGCTGTGTCATTTTGTCTCTTTTGTTAGCCAGAGCACTTTCCTCCTTGTGCCTGTGAAGATCTGTATGCAGTCCTCAGAGGAGTCCAAAAGTAGCAAATAAATAAAAATAAAACAAAAAGTTAAAAGACACAAACTAAACTACAACCAAATAAAGGTATTTCCCAAGGAACTTTAGGAAACTTAGTCCATTTCACTAAGTTCATAGCTATTTAGCTGACTGAACACAGGTGTTTACTTGACTATCAGGTAAATTACAAACAACTACTTTGCAGGTTTTGGTGAACTGTAGACCTAAACTGAGAATGAAAAACCTGATAATATAAAATGCAGGCATTTTCTCAAACACACTGATGCAGTTATGTAACAGGACTTAAGAATAAAATTTAGTTGAGACATTTTAGTCTTTAGTTTCTTTTCATGCAATTAAGCAACATTCCCTGTGCTCCTAATGCATCTTTCTTTGTCACAGTATTTTTCCAATATTTGCAAGTGAGGGTAAGGAACTCTCCAAAATGCCGCAGTAGGTGAATTTGGGGGGAATTTGAACTGACCACATTAAGTTGGCTCTTAAGAATTCCCTGGTGTGAGGTGTCACCCTTGTGTTGTAGGCAGTAGGTGTCAGATGGAGAAAGCGCTGAAATCTGTACTTTCTAAAGAAGGTAAATTTCAGTTCTTTGCCAAATGCCCATATTGCTCAGCTGTTCAGGTTTATGAGACGAATGCCCCAAGGTTACTGGATGTTAGTTAAATCCTTGTTTTCTTCTGTCAGTCACCTTTAACAAGGAGCTGTAGGTACTGACTTTCATTCTGATTAGAAAGGATTCTTAAGGAGTCTTACTTAGGGGCTTTAAAATTCTGATTTCCCAGCATCTCTCTGTATGGCTGCTATTACTACACACTTCTTAATAATTTATTTTTAGGCATTTGGCATACGCAACATCTTTTCTTTTTGCCTTTCCCTCTCTCTTCTTTCTTTCCAAACTCAGGTAGTGCAGTTGTGCTGTCCTTACTCATTTGTGCTGGTAGCAGTGGAGAGGTGCATGAAGGTAGAACTGCAAAACTGTACTTTTACCATACAAAATTCATCATGTAACTTTCTTCCAAATTCCAGTAAACCACAGAATTTTCCGAACTGCTTCTGCTTCAGTACTTTTTGTATTATGTTGTCATGTTTGTAGGATGAGTTCAAATGATGCCTGCGGTTTCACACAGCTCACTTCTTCTGTCTGCAGACTTCAAGGAAGTGTTTTTAACTCTTTCACAGTTTTTATACCTACAGAAAAGTATTATAGGACGTCTCTTTATTACTGTAAGTGAGTCATGGGAGTTTTGCCAGGATATACGAGGCAGTTGAACTTCCTGTATAGATTGATCCATTTTTTGTGCTTCCTCCTGGGGCTTTCCAAACAGTACCTGGACTTGGGGATCAGAGATTATTATGTTATCATTTTCTAATGCTATTGCATTAAATAAGTAATGTGTTAATACTTCAGGAAAATAGGAGGGGAATAAGATACCTGGATTAACAATCATGAATATTTGCCCATGTGTGTGCATGGGATAAAGAGTACTTAAAGAGGTGCTGAATAAAGGAAAATGGCTTAATTTATCAATTAAAAGCTCAGTTGCTGCAGACTCTTCCATTAGGACTCACAAAGAGCTAAAACCTCAGTCATCTTCTCTTGCTATGCAGAGCTGACATGTCACACAAAGTTAAGAAATCTTAATATTTCATGCAGCAGCTATGGCAGTAGCTACAAGAAGTGCTATATGGTATGACTTGAAGTAATTTCAGTCTGTTACTTCCTTAAACTTGAGAGAAGTTAGTAGCTATATTCAGACTATGCAGGAAGTAATTTGAAGCACATTTGCTTAGAAGATATTTAGTGTGGTTTTTTGGCTTTTTGCTTAAAAAGTGAATTTGTATGTGTTTTGCACAGGGTTATGAAGATTGGCTACGACACAAAGCAGACAATGAAGTAAATGGTGCTCCAGTTTATGTTGTCCGAAGCGGTGGCCTTGTGAAAACCAGATCTAAAAATATTCGGGTATGTGGCGAAGGACAACTTGGAAAATTGTTTCTGTCACATAGCTAAAGCTCTTGTTTCATTACCAATCATTGTGGCCTGTGTTTGGTAATAGTGCTGAAAGGAATGCTGCTCTCTTACAACTCTCTTTGCATACTTCTCTCTTCATTAGGTGGGGGACATTGTCAGAGTAGCCAAAGATGAGACTTTTCCTGTTGATCTGGTGCTTCTGTCATCTGATCGAGTTGACGGTTCATGCCACGTTACTACTGCAAGTTTGGATGGAGAGACCAATCTCAAGGTCTGTGTTACCTCTGTGAAATACAATGTAGTTAATTTGTGATGCCATTTTTATTTCAGCCTGTTGACATACCCACCCTGCTGCCTGGTAGTCCTGTACTAACTTCCTGGGCACTGTTTTACAGACACACGTTGCAGTCCCAGAAACAGCAGTGTTGCAGTCTGTTGCCAACCTGGACAAACTGGTAGCTGTTATAGAATGTCAGCAGCCAGAAGCAGATCTGTACAGGTATCATCTTATTAGTAAATGTTTTGAAATTAAATCAAAATGAGGTGTTTAATATGAAGAATGTTATGGTTCTTGCTGAGATAAAAATAGCTTCAGACATCTGCTGCTGATGAAGTTGGGTTTTAATAACTGGATTGTGTTTATACATATGTGTTTGCTGAAACTTACATGTAACAAGTTAAGTGTAAGTATTTCAATAGTAAACCAGAAATTATAGTATAATATTTACCTTTTGTATTTTAATTATGTACATTTCTATTCTAAGCAGTAAACCTTCTTCCAGATTTAAAAAAATTAAGTGGCCTACAAGTCTGAGCAGGGTGAAGAAAGAGTTGTATAAGGTTCTGCCAGGACATTTCAGTACTATATAGGATATTTTAAATTGGAGTTAACTCAGATCACAGGAAATTGTTGTAAGCTTATGTTAATTTTAAGGATATGTGTCAGTCATGTTTGTTTTGCGTATGCTTAAGAGAAGATCTGAACTCCATTCTTCAGCAGCAAAACTTTAGATTAAAAACAGGGATCTGAGTGCACCTTAACATCAGCAAGCAATGTCACAGACCGGGTAAAACAGCATCATGGGTAGCAAAAGTTATATTCCTATCCAAGTTTCTTCTGAATCGTATAATTAAGAAGTAGTAACTAGTAGTTTCTAAAATCCAAGAATATCACAGCAGCTGCTCATAAGTAAGCTTTGGGTTCCTTGAGAAATATTAAATTCTTTAAAACTAAGACAGCTTGAACAGTTATTCAAACACTTGATAATTATCAAGTTAAGGTACAATCACTATGGCAGTTTGTGTCCCTTTCTGTAGTTGTGGTCAAGCTGAATGTGCAAGTGTCTGATTTGAAATGCAGAGTAGATTTGTTGTATTAAATGAAAGTTATTATTCCTGATGGATAATATGCTAACTTCCATTTGTTGAGGAATTCTTACTGAATCATCAAGAAGTCACAAACTGTTTTAAATGAGGAGAAACAATCTTTTGTGGTTCTTAATGAAAGCTAATAGGCTTTCCCAAATGACTATTCTTTTGAAGGATAAATGTTTCTGTTGTTAAATGTCTCTAGTAAAATAATTGCCAGCTTTGAAATACTGGTTTAGTTTGATTGTTAACAAAAGTTGATTTATTTTGTACTTGGGAACCATTTCAAGAACTTTCTTTTAAATATAGAGAGTTTTTTACATTTTTGAATCTTCATGTAGATATTTCTAAGACATGTCCATCTTTCCTAGATTTGTTGGAAGAATAACTGTAAGTCAACAAGCTGAGGAAATAGTAAGGTAAGTAAAATTTTATAAGATGATTATTTAGAACACATGGAGATGGTTAAAATCATGGCCATCACAAATAAGAGTTACTGTTGGATATATGAAAGGGAGAGGTATTTTTTACTTAGAGTATCAGTTATAGCTGGATACTTCAGTTGGAGATGAGGAAAAAATTAGTGAAAGAAAATTCATTGCTACCCAGTTTTTCAGATTTAATCCAACAGTTCTGGAAGGCTCGGCTGTTCTGGAGTGGATAATTTTTAGGCATGCAATCAGCTGGTGACTTTGCTATTTGCTAATTAAAGCATTTATTGATCTGAAACAATTTCCAGTGGCTTATTATGTAGGCTACAACACATCCCTTGTTATCAGAGGTAATGAGGAGGAATTTTTGCTGTTGAAATTCCTAGAAATTCCTGGTCTAAAAGCCTCTGCTACAAATTTTTAGCTTTTATTACATGTTTCAAGCTACAGCTGGACTGTACAGATAAGTGTTTACATCTGGGATAGTCAGCACATAATTGTGTGCATGTAATCATGTGTTCACAGCCTTTCCTTGTGCAGTCACTGCAAGTAACAAACACATGTGAAAATACAAAAATGAAGATGTGAAGCCACTTACAGACCAACATGTGAACTTCCTGAAAAGATTGTTTGGTTGGCCCCAGCTAGCAGCCAGGCATCCACACAGCTGCTCAGTCAATTCCCACCGTGACAGGGGAGGAGAGAAAATAGGAAGAAGAGGAGGGAGAAAGATTGTGGTTTGCAAGAAAGACATGGAAATTACTCACAAGAAATGGCAAATTTTCGGGAATATTTAGCATTCAAATTACTTAATTACTTTGTCTTGAGAGTTGTGGATAAGTCAGGCTTTCAAGAAACCTTGTCACCTCTTCTGAAGAGGTGAAGTGCTGTATTATGATATATAAATTTGTCATAGAAACATGTAAATCTGTTATGTTTCTTTCACTTGTCTAACATACAAAATGTTATCTTTTATACTTCTTTTTAGTGAAATTTGACTTGAATATTAAAGCAGTACTATTTTCCATGTTATGTTTGCCTTCAGTCTGAAGAACTGAAAGTCTCTTGTTAAGAGAGCCTCCTCTGAGGCTGGCAAACATCTGACAGTTTTAGATAGGAGTGGCACTAGAATCAGTCAAGGATTTGTCAGTGTTTTTGCAAGAAATATGGGTGTGTAGAAAGCAGGTCACTTGGCCCCAAGTCCAGTGCCTTAGCCACCCCCACCAAAACCCCCACCCATTCCACCCCCAAAACCCCATTCTGCTGGTTTTTTAAGGTCGCTTTATGTGCTATTTCACTTAGAGCTCTTCAGAGTTCATTACTGCCAAGCCTGTCTGGGATAATCTATCAAAATAATTTAGTTGACAACATATAACAGAGCCAGTTTAAAGGGAAAAAATAGTTGCAAGTTCTGACTGCTAACAGGGCTGTGTCTTCTGTCTGTCAAAGATAAACTTGTCTGGTCTGTGTTGCACTGATTCGGGGTTTGTATTTTAGGTTTGCCAGACTGGTTTTACAAACTTGAATCCAGAAATATAAATTATGTTTCTAGGATGAAAAGTTTAAATGGTTGAGCATTTGGTCCCTTTTAGTTCAGTTTTGCAGTTAAAGTTTCAGTCTAGCCTGCAATATGCACATACATATGTGTAATCTAAAGAACCCATCATAATGTGTGTGCATAATTGGCACACATGGTATTTGTGATGGTAATGCTCACATTTGCAGTAACATGTAAGTTAAACGTTTGACTGTGGGAGGTGAGTTGTTGGTTTGGCTTTTGGGGTTTTGTTGTGTGACTCCGGGTTATACTTTAAGAGGAACTTCAAGTGTTTGCCTAATAGTGATCATGGCAAACCCAAGGGCTTGTATGGCAGAGCACTTAGCATATGATCTTTAGTTCTTTTGCTTATACCCAGTGTTGACCTGGCCACTGCAGTTGTTAGATTTCTGTTTTCATTTGAAACACTGGCAATAATATTTTTTTCAAAATATCAGTCCAACTCTGCTGGCAGTTTCTAAAGATGATACAGCTGCTGATGTAGAACATGTGGCTCTGACCTTATATTGACCTTGCTTGTAACTAGACCTTCATTTTCATAGCACTGTTTACAGTTAACTTAGCCAATGAAATTAATGTGCTGTTGTGGTGGGATAGGTGTGAGTTAAAAACAGGAAATTTTGCTCTTGTGTTAGGAAACAAAATTTGCACTGCCATGATAGTGGTTTGTCCATCTAGTTGTTTGTCTCTGTTGGTATGAATAGCTTTTGAAGTTTCTAGATCATCTTAGTTTGACAGGGAGGTAGAAGTAAGATGGGCTGATTAGCCAAATACTCCTGGTGCACTGTGAGCTTGACTGGTTTCTTGCCTACTTGCTTCTCAAGTAACTTGCAGGTCCCTCTGAGCCAGCCATTTGGGATATTTAGCTCAAGCCCTAGTTATGGGATATGGAACAGTGGTGAGTGAGTATGGCAGTGACCAAAGGAGACATGAAAGGAAATGGAGAGCTCTGGAGATGTGTGGGTGAGGCGTGGTAAAAGGAATAAAGATGATTGAAGGTGGACCTCAGTGAGGATGGGGTTGGAGTTGTTGCACTGGGAATTCCTAGGGGACATAGGAGCACTTTGCATAGAATACTTTATCTCAGTAGTTCAGTGGAATACAGAGCAACTAATTTTTAAATGCTGATGTGTCTGTTTCTTTTTAGACCTCTTGGGCCTGAAAGTCTCTTACTTCGTGGAGCAAGATTAAAAAACACTAAAGAAATATTTGGTTTGTAGACATCTAAATATTTAAAGAGTATTCTCTTTTAAAGCATGTTGATGAACTGCGTTTTAATTCTGCTTGCACTGAAGAAATTGTAATAATCTTGCTGTCTGGTACCTGAGGGGATGTGATTATAGATGAAAGTAATGATATTATGCTGAAGAATCTCTAAGGATATAAAGTTCCAGCTCTGCTCTGTGAAAATATTTGAAGTGGTTCAATAAAGGAATAGCTTAACTTCAATGGATAAATGACTGTTCTTACTATTACCCATTGTTCAAGACTTTCTCCTGAGATTTACCATTCTGATTTCCATAAAATACATATTGAAGAGCACTACAGTCATAATAGTGAACAGTGTTGTAGTAGGTGTTAAAATAACTTCAGTAGTACTGTTTTACTATAGCAAAATATTGTAAACACCTACAAAATACTCTCACCACTGTACTGGAGTAAACACAGACGTAGTATCACCTCTTGATTTTATCCCATGTCTCTTAAAATGAAAAATTCTGCAAATTGTATTTGTGCAGAAAATAAAGTATAACTCTCTCCCCCCCTTCCTTCCCAGGTGTTGCAGTGTATACAGGTATGGAGACAAAGATGGCATTAAATTACAAGAGTAAATCTCAGAAACGGTCAGCAGTAGAAAAGTATGTTTATTTTCTAATGTCTCTCTTATTTGTAGAGTTTTAACTCAGCTTTTCCTCTAACTTTTAAACCCTGATGGTCTTGTCATTGGATTATAGTCAGGGGAAGGGAGTGTTACTTGCTTTATCTTTATAGATTCCTGTTGAAGGCAAAATGCATTTCTTGACATTTTATGCTTTATTGATTCTTTAGTAGTGTACAGAGTAGCAATACCCAAGCTTGCTCATGGTTACGGGGTAGGTGTTACTGTCACAGAGATTTATATGTTGAATCTCTTGATTTATTTTAAAATGAACAGGACTTCTGATGTGTTGCCTTTATTGCAGTTACTAGAATTCTGAGAGAGCCTCCTGGCATTCCTACCCAAGCTTGGAATTGATTATTCTTTTGTAGCTACATGCAAACAGAACTGTAGCATGCACAAGAAAAGTTCAGCCATCAAAGCAAGGGGTGGAGAGATGGTCTGGCTAACATTACAGAATATAGATACAGGTTTGAGTATGTCCTGGTATAGCATGAACTGGAGTAAATAGTCAGATGCACATGGCAGTGCTCTTCTAACTGAAGAAAAAGGGGCAGTCTTGAGTTTCCAATGTGGTTGTTTGTAATGCGTTCACAGCCTTGCTTGATGCTAGGTGAAATAGAGAAGGCTAAGTCAGCCCCAAAATCTTGGGCAGCAATTGTGACACAAGTCAGCTATTGTGGGGTATTCCTGCACCTTAGTCTAGTCTTCATATTGCTATATAGAGAGTTTATGTTAGTCAGATGTAGGATGTCTTTTCCATTGTGTTGCTTGCTTGTCACATAGAAACATCATATCAGGCTCAAGACGTGTTTTTTTTAAAGTGTCCAACAGGTTTTTGATCAATTCATGTAACCAGTATGGCAACAGATCAATTAAAATATACTTATGGTGCTTGCCTTTTTTTTTTTTTTTTTTGCCTCTTTGTAGGTCCATGAATTCCTTTTTGATTATTTATCTAATAATCCTCCTATTTGAAGCCATTCTGAGCACTATATTAAAGTATGCATGGCAGGCTGAAGAGAAATGGGATGAGCCTTGGTATAATGAAAAAACAGAGCATGAAAGGAACAGCAGTAAGGTAAAGTAATTCTACCCAGTTGCCTATGTGAGGAATGCTCAACCAATATCTACTGAACACGATATTTATTATGTCTCTGTTCTTGATATAAGTGTAACTACCATATGATCCACTTGCAAGTTTCTGTGCTGTTCTCTCACTGGTTTTGAGAAAGGTAGTGCTATGTAGCCTACCCATTGTGTAGAAATATTTCTACCTCTGTTACTGGCTGCACTTTTCTTTATGAAAAGACCGAAGTTTCTGAAAATTTAGGGCTTCATTAGGGCATATTTCTGATGTTCTTTGGTTTTGTTACTGATCTTTTGGGTGTGTTTTGTCGTTCTATAAATGAAAAGAGGAGGATGCCTGTTGCTGTGTATGTTCTATTGCAGTGACTTCGCAGTTCAGGAATTTTGTACTTTCTGTGATGTTGAGATGGTTCAGGCAATTTTGTAAGGCTGTAATTTTGCTCCTGCCTCCTGCTTGCCTTCTTGCTTTTCTGTAGAGATTGGAGGGATACTTTGAAGTGTTCCTGAAATCTGCAGTTCTGAGGAGTGTCTCTTTTTAAGTCACTCTTTATTTTGCTGTGTTCTGTTTAATTTTTGATTTCTGTACAAGTCTACCTTTATCCAGAGGAGTTCAGGAGCTTTAATTTGAAGTAGTTGCTATGCAAGTTAGACTAGCCTGTGGAGGCCTTTCAGTTCTGAATAGAACTGGGATAAGTATTTCCTCAATCTTTCCATTCTTTTATCTTTGCTATCAAGAACATAGAGAGCCACATGTATTTCTGCAGTGTCACTCTCCTTCTATCATGTCTTTGTTTTTCTCTCTCCCATGTTTACTTCCACAATCTGCTTTGCATTCTCCACATACTGACATCCTTACTTGGAATGTTTTCCCTGTCCATCTGTCCTGTGTGTGCAGATTGTTGTTTCACAGCCAGTGCTCGAAGAACCTCACTAACCTTAGTTAATTGTCACTGCTTCCAGTATGTCTTCTCTTATATGAATTACTGGTTTCTGTCTTATCTTTTCTGGTTTAGGCACAGAACTTGCTGAGTTCTCTGTCAGACACCTTAATTATTGGTATTGACTTCTATTAAATAATTATAGCAATGCTCCCTAATTAGGAAGAACAGACATTTAGCCTTGCAAACGGTTGTCTGCTTCTATACTCCCTCTATTTAAAATGTTCTCCCAAACCAATACCTGGTTGAGCTGAAAGAGATGACCGCTTTTTTCTCATCTCTAATTTCCCTTGCTCAGTATTCAAGTGTTGGTAAGAGTCTTCCTGAAGTACAGTTTAGATACTAAGCTTCTTGTGCAAATGAAAAAGAAACTTCAGAGACCATAGTGTTGCATTTCAGAGATCGTTTAAATTATCTTACCTAATAAAGGGAAGTTTCTGTCCCATTATATAGGTCTTTGCCTGAAATGTATGTGTTGAACACAATGATTTGAAGAGGCAAAAATGAAGTCTGTGCCATGGGAAGTCCACATGGTCCCTTTCATGTCATGTAGTCTGGATCACTCACATCACTGGGGAATGCCAGCAGACAGGAACCCTCTTACTGCTGTACTGTCCTATAACAACACAGATTCCTCTGACAGCATGGAGTATCAGTTGTTTATCTTCACAATTCATGGTTCATTAGGAAAGCCTGTAGGAATGATGCTATGATGGAATGGGGAACGCATTAAGTTTTTTTGGCTCCAGCTCTTCTTGAAAGAGACATTTGAAAACAGTCACCATGACAGTGAATATTAATTGGCAGCTCTCCTGACATATTCAGCAGAAAGACAAAAATTAATGAACTTGTGAATTGAAACGTTCAGTCATAGCTTAAGGCAGACTTTTTGCATCAGTCTGAGGGTGTGTTACTGGGGCAACCTGGAATTGCCTGCACTGTCACTGGGAGTGTTGTCTCTCTCGTATGTACGTGGGACTTGGTCTTCTCTGACTCTCTCAACTTGTCATTTTTCATGCATATTGAAACACAACTAAGTCATCATGTTTCACCTGATCACTGTGGTAATCTTTACATTTTTTTCTTGTTCTTTTGTAGATTCTGAGATTTATTTCAGATTTTCTTGCTTTTCTGGTACTTTACAATTTTATCATACCTATTTCACTGTATGTGACTGTTGAGATGCAGAAGTTTCTTGGATCTTTTTTTATTGGCTGGGATCTTGACCTCTACCATGAAGAAACAAACCAGAGAGCCCAAGTAAATACGTCAGACCTCAATGAGGAATTGGGACAGGTAAAGTAAAAAATACATTTTTTTCTTCTTTTAACCTATTTTCTACTTAGTTTTTAGTATTAAAATTCATTCCTGCAGGCTTTTTATTAGTTGTGTTTTGATTTCTGATTAGTTTTATAATAAGGTAAAAATTACTGATGACAAAAATTAAAATTCTCACATGATCCAAAAAAAGATGTGTGGTAGAAAGTATGAATTGAGATTATTTTCTTTTTTTTTTCTAATAAGTGCATGCAATTCCAAGTCTGTTTATTTGTTTTGTTTTACAAAAGGTAGAGTATGTGTTTACAGACAAAACTGGTACATTAACTGAAAATGAGATGCAGTTTCGGGAGTGCTCCATTAATGGCATAAAGTACCAAGAGGTCAATGGTAAACTAACTCCAGAGGGATTTTCTGAAGATTCTCCAGATGGAAATAGGCATAGTTTGGTAAGACTCTTCAGTTTTCCCACCATTAGTCATCCTAAGATAAGAAAGTGTTTTCTGTCAGAGAAATGCTCTTGTACAATTAACATTAAAAAAACTATAAATCAGAATTTCTGAATAGTTTGATGTTATTAGGTGTTACTGAACAATTAATATTTATTAAATGTGTTGAGATGTGATTATTTAACAAGAAATACTTGGCAGATTTTTAAGTAAAAACGTTTTTATTAAGTATTTTCAAAAGAGATTTGGGATATAAATATTACAAACCAAGCTTTTTCATCTCCTGTAGGTGAAAGAGGAAGAACTCTTCTTGAAAGCAGTTTGCCTTTGTCATACAGTGCAGATCAATGCAGATCAGACAGATGGTGCCGATGGTCCCTGGCATGCCAACGGAATCACATCCCCATTGGAGTATTATGCTTCTTCACCAGATGAGAAAGCTTTAGTTGAAGCTGCAAGCCGGTGAGCTCTGCTGCCAAAACTAACACAGGGATTGCCTACTAGGGCAGGCAATCCGTGATGAAAGCAGCCTTCAGAATTGCTCAGGGTGTTCGTAAAATCCAGGGCCTGGCACTGTCACTTTGCTGGGAAAACATACAAGTATAAAATGCACAAACCCCTAGGTGTATTATAAAGTGAGGATTTAAAATATTTATGGAAATCCTTGAGAAATGACAGTGGTCGGAGTATGTTGCAAATAAAATACTGCAGAAAGTGGGCATTCTGAAATTTCTCTAGAAGTAGAGAACAGTAATGGGGTATAAGAGTCCTTTTTTTTTCCTGCCAGCTCCCCCTCCCTCCATCAATAGGCATTTTGTCTACAGTGATAATTACCTCTATATTTTCCTTTCTTTTTAGGGTGGGAGTAGTATTTACTGGAATAAGTGGTGACAGTATGGAAGTAAAAAGTCTTGGAAAACCAGAGAGGTACTTGTTTATATTCCTTGTTTAATTTAAAGGACAGAACAGTAATGAAGATTAATGTAGTGTTCTCAGTCCTCTCTGCTCATAAGCAAACCTTGCCTTTGCTCAGCATGCTCTATTTAATGCTTTTCCCTTGATGTCTTCAAGCCAGCTTGCATCTTAGTCCTTAACAATTGTAACTGAGATGCAAGAATTTTGAGTTCCTCTGTGTAGGTGTGTGTTGTAACAGTTTGTCTTTGCCCATTCCTCAAAGGTTGAGACTGTAATCAAGCAGGAAAACTGAATGGCTTATTCAAGTCTTAGAGTTTGTGCTTTTGGCTCTAGAAGTTCCCAAAGTCAGTGTCATCTATGCATAATTTAATTACGTACTTTCAACCTTCCCAAAGTGAGTAGAAATATTATTGGCAACTGTGTATCTGCAGTGTGTCATAGCTTCTTTTGCCCATTTGATCTGTGGCAGTTGGCACTACTTTAAAGTTAAATGTCTAAATTCATTTTCTAAACTAGTGGTAACACAACAAAAACTAGTCCAGTTATCAGGGCACACCCACTCTTTTTTGATAGCATAGATTGTTTGCAAATGTTAGAAACAAAATTTAGTTTTCAGAATTACACTTGAAGTAATCACAGAAGGATAAAGAAATAAGTAGGAGCTGCTTATAATCTCCAGATGTCAAGTTAGTATTCAGGAAACTGTTCCTATTGGTAGAGGGACCTTTTATTCTTACAGAATGAAATTAAGTATATATAAAGTGATGGAAAGCGGTGAGTTGCACAATGACTAATAACAGTGGTTGTTGAACAGTGGTGATATTGCTTTTAGAATTTCTGTGTAAAAATGACACCTGGAGGAAAGGTCTGTGGTGTAACAGTCTATTTATAAGTAATTGTCTTTGGAAAATGCTTTCTAAAAATGTTTTCTTCTTCTTCCCTCTTTTATTAAAACACAAAACACAGGTATAAATTGCTGCATGTTTTGGAGTTTGATCCAAATCGCAGACGAATGAGTGTCATTGTAGAGAGTCCCTCAGGTAGGTGATCAGAAATTGCACAAGCTACAGTTGAGTAATTCTTAAATGGTATATTCTTAACTTCTGTTCTGGCTTACTTTTTAGGGGAAAAGCTGTTATTCACAAAAGGGGCAGAATCTTCCATTCTTCCTCGTAGTAAGAGTGGAGAAATAGACAAAACAAGGATACATGTGGATGAATTTGCTTTGGTAAGTGTATAAGCTTGCCCAGCAGATCAGAAGGAAATTCATCCGGTATAAATTCTGTGACTTGAAGTGAACAAATTGCAGGTGACAACTTCTTGTTGGATCAGAATCTTGTCTGCTCTGAATGTGTTCTTTTGTTTTCTCACAGAAAGGACTAAGAACTTTGTGCGTAGCCTACAGAAGATTCACACCTGAGGAGTACCAAGAAATTGGCAAACGCCTTCATGAGGCCAGGACTGCCTTACAGCAGCGGGAGGAAAGATTAGCAGACGTGTTCAACTTCATAGAAAAGGATCTGGAATTACTTGGGGCTACAGGAGTAGAAGACAAGTATGCAATGGAGTTACTGCTAATTACACTCAAACCCAGCGGGTTTTGATTTATAACTGAAATACAATGTATGGAAAACTCTCACATTGTGGCCAGAAGTTCTGTGCTATTCTTGTTTAGTATGTTTGCCACTCTCTGGATTGAGGAGCATTCAAAACACAAATTGTACCAACTGATTTTTGGCTTAATACTGATAACATACAGTGTGGTTTCATCAGGAGAGTTTTCATGTATGTGAAACAGATTAGTTGCAGTTAATGTTTAGGGTAGCAGCTAATTCATTGGGAAAACTTCTATACACTGCAACTTTGCAAAGCATTCTGCTTGCATGGGGAATATTCCCAAAGTCGGAGGGTGTGTTGTACATGGGAGTGTACCAGATGGGGCACTTAGAAGCTTGTCATGTACCACAGTACATAGTGGTTGTTGTGGACTGATTTAAAGCTTCTCAAGTGCAGTGATAGTGCCTAATTTAAGTCAAGATACTCGTTACAAATTTTTTGTCCCTTAGCAGGATTGAAGTTTAGGTTTTGTTTCTTCAAGGCCTTTGTTTTATTGCTGGTAACAGAACATCAGCTGCCAGACTATGATTCTCTGAAAATGCATGCAACATTGGAAATGCAGCCTTAGCTCATCGTGACAGTGGTAACATGGAGTTAGTGTGAGCTTTTTTTTGGTAAAGACTGGTTATTTAAGATTTTTCTTGTTTCTAGACTGCAGGAGAAAGTCCAGGAAACTATAGAAGCCCTCAGGCTGGCTGGTATCAAAGTGTGGGTGCTCACTGGAGACAAGCACGAAACAGCTGTCAGTGTCAGTTTATCCTGTGGACACTTTCACAGAACCATGAACATCCTTGAGCTTGTGCAACACAAGTCAGACAGTACCTGTGCAGAACAACTGAGGCAGCTAGCCAAGAGGTAAAATACCAGAGATGTCACTATCTCAGTGATGATCTTAGCTTGGTTTTCTTTCATTTTTAAATTTTATGACAATCTCTTTGATGTATGTGCCAAAGAAATGAAGCTGTGTTTTAAAATAAATGATTTATTAATATAGTAACAGGCTTGAAGAAGCAGTCTGTCTGTCAGGCTAACCCCTTTGCTTAATGTGTGGCCAATGACATAGTTTATAGCAAAACTGAAAATTTTCCATGACACCAATACAAAGTCAATGTTTTTGTCCCTGATTAGAATAAAGGAAGACCATGTTATCCAGCATGGACTGGTTGTAGATGGGACCAGCCTCTCTCTTGCACTCAGGGAACATGAAAAATTGTTCATGGAAGTCTGCAAAAACTGTTCTGCAGTGTTGTGCTGTCGCATGGCACCCCTTCAGAAAGCAAAGGTAAGTGAGAATATGGTCAGGATTGCCTCCTGAGTGTTTTTATCATGCTTTGAGGAGCCAGGGATTTCTGAAACTGCTTTGTTTGTTTACCTGACCTTTTGTGTGGTTTTGGAATCCTTGTAAAGTTCAGTTGATCTGCAGTAGTTTGCTCAGAGGTTTCTACTTGAGCGTTTGAAAATTTTCAGGTGAATGGAGAAGTCAGAATCCTGCCACCATGCAAGAAAAGGCTGATCCTTAATCTGCCTCTTGAGTGTTGTGTAGGCAGCAGCTATCCTGATGACCTGCATGCTTTTGCCTTGCCTGCTCCATTACTTCTCCAAACCAAAAAAATCTAAATTGAAAATTAATGAACCTGTAAGGAAAAAGTGTGCTTCTCTAAGTGCTTTAAAGTTTGAGGAAGAAATAAAAGGGAAGGGAAGTCAAGACTTAGTCTCCAGGGGAGGTTTGCCTTAATACTCTTAAGACCATTTTCCTTCACACATAAAATTAAGAATTTTGCTCAAATATAGGCAGGATAAAATTCAAATTCAGATTGTGTGATTTTTATGGTTTTTTTCACTCCAGAAAGCTAACCTCTGAAGGACTATAATATTTATTCTTTCCTTTTGAAATTCTCTCTCTTCATGAGAAGACACCTTATTACCTTAAAGCACTAGGAAACCCTTACATGAGGTACTAGATGTGCCAAAGAGGGCAGGCTGTTCTGCTATAGCATGAGACTTGTTTTGAGGTCACTTTTCCTGCTTCCAGCACTTTGCCAGAGTTCTAATGCAGTCTTTTCAATCACTTCAGTGTAGAACTGTTCAGCTGGTATAATATTGTTTTTGATAAAATGTTAAAAGGAAGGTGTAACTACTATGAGTAAAACAATTTGTTGGATATGTCCACTTTATAATGTTTTAGATGAAATTTTTACCATCCCTTCTCTTTAAGGGGCAGATAGTTGCTGTGTTAGTTATGCTGTCCTCATTCTTGCTTTGTCATATAACTTGATTTATAGTGTTCTGTACTGCTTTTCTAATTCCTGTCCTGTCCAGCAGATAATGGAGATTACAGTAAAATGTAATTTTGATGGCAGTGACTTTTTAATTTCAAACATTGAAGTATATATATCTCTGAGACAAATGCCATACAACATGAAGGGTAGGGAAATAAGTGTAGGGCAGTTTAGTCTAGCCTTGCACATGATTTTTTTGCTCTAGGCAACCTTTTTGTCAGCTTTATTCCAAGGTTAAGCTGGAACTCAGATTAATGGTTCCTGCATCTTTAATGCTTGTTAATATATGATTAGCGGTCTCACTACTAATTTTGATGTGTTTTATGGCTCAAAATCCTTTTTTAACATCACCATGTCAGTCATTCAGAGCTGCTGTTGATTGCTGCTGCTGCTGCTAAAATTTGCCAGAGGATTTGTCTTGACCTTTTCACGTAGATGTTTGCCTTGTCTAAATTACCACAGCCTTGGGGAATCTCAGGAGAGCTGATCTGGGTGGCACAGCCTTGTTACCTCCTTAAGGCTGTTTCCTAGGATCTAATGCTAAATGTACTTGAAATAATTACCCCTTAGGAATGGGGAACCTTTTAAACTTGAATATTAATACCTGCAATTAGGGAATGTATTCCCACAATCAGGTGGATTTCTCTGAGCTATGGACTGTATTTAATCACCATTGTGTTCCTCCTGTGAAGTGAGTCCCTTCTCCTGGGAATCGATGCCCTGACACTGCTACAACTTACTTTTTCCAATACAGCTTTTGGTGTCTGCTTACCTCATGCAGTTGTTGCTCTGCTGATACATCCTCTTTGGGCTTTCTGGAACTTCAGGGGAAAATGTTTTTTTCATACATATTTATTTTACTGTTTTTAGAAAGCCTCTTGGTCTGCATTCATACCTTTAGCTCTGCAGCCTGTTTACAGCTCAATTAGTGAAGCTTTTGCTTTAAGCTAGAGCTCTCCAGGAGGTCAGTGAAATACTAATTCTCCTTAACCAAAAGCATTATCTAACTAACTCCTTTGTATTTAGAATATTGTTGGCACTTTCATTAAAGCTTTGATTCCTTCCTGTGATGAGCAAGATATTGCTGCTCCTCTTCTGAGTATTTTAGGGCTTTATATGTAAACAATTTTTTCCTCATTCTGTCTTCTTTGTCTTTTCCAACTGAGACTACCCATTGGTGATAATGAAATTGCTTTAAAAAAGAAACTGTTTTCCTTTATAGCAGCACATTGATCTTTTAGCTAATGCATTTGCTTTTTCAAATTCCTCTTTTACCTGGATTAGTTCCATTAATTATAAATATGAAGAATCTGAGCCTGTCTAGTAAAAAGGCATGAAATCTGTATTATTCTGTATTTGTAAGCAAATTTTCAGTTCCAAGTTTTGCTTAACTGTTTAGTATGATAAATTAAGAGTTGTAAAAGAACACTGGAATAAAAATAGGAAGATGAGCCCAATGCAGGCATAATATTTAAATAAGGCTTGTGCCCCAAAACAAGCAGGTTTTCTAAAGGGAGTGAGTTTGTACATGTAATAGCCAAACATGTTTTATTTTATCCAAGCATACATGTTCATAAAACACATGAATTATATTTGCAGGTAGGTAGCTAACTGAGATACTGGGGAATTGGGGATATGGTTTGCAGATAGACTGTCCAGTCTGAAAATGTTTGATTTCTTTTTTTTCCAGGTAGTGAGACTGTTAAAAACATCTCCAGAGAAACCTATAACATTAGCAATCGGTGATGGTGCTAATGATGTGAGCATGATACAAGAAGCACATGTTGGCATAGGTAATTTTGTCAGAAGCAATAAAAGCTTTTTTTATTTGAATCAGCATCAAATGAGCAGTTTTCCTTGGCTGTGTGAGGAATAAGACCTTCTTTTGCAACAGAAAGTTGCTGAAATCTTTTATAATGTTGAAGTGCAGGAAAATGGCATAGTAGCTTCAGATGAATGTTGTTGAGGTTTTTAAACTTCAATTTTTATAATATTTAACCTGTTTTCTGCTTTTGTTTCCCAAACATTGCAGGAATCATGGGCAAGGAAGGAAGACAAGCTGTAAGAAACAGTGACTATGCAATAGCACGGTTTAAATTCCTCTCCAAGTTGCTTTTTGTTCATGGGCACTTTTACTATATTAGAATAGCAACCCTTGTACAGTACTTTTTTTATAAGGTGAGTCTTCTAAGAGTGCCTCTGAAGTTTATAGAAAAATGTGTAACTTTTTCTCAGCAAGAAATACATTTCAGGTCTGAGATTTTTGTTGCGATCAGGTTAAATATCTCTGCTCAAACATGGTTACTGGGCTTTTTAAAAAAATAATTTACAACCAAATGCAGTAGTTTAACTGTGAAGTTGTTTAGTCCTTCCACCTAGAAATAGATTTTAAATACCACAGTGAGTTTATCTAGGCTGAGAGGCAGATGTTTGTGCTCAGAAGGCAGCATTTCTTAATTTGTTTGTTTTCTTGATCATCAGTTTTCATAATCAAAATTCAGTACCATACTTGAATTTCATCTGTGATTTCAGCTTTGGCTCCCAAGTCACTTTTTCTGTTCTTTTGTTTCCTTTCACTTAGAGGCAGCAGCATGGTGTTATGTTTTGTTTTCTGCTTTGTCTGCTCCCATGCAACAAGCTCACATGTGCAGGGCACAGCTTTCTTGAATGAAATGTGGAATATATTTTGCAAAGAAATTCTTAGAAAGAAACTGAGGGGAAAAATCAATGAGTTTCTTCTCCTTTCATACTACTTAGACTCCCATAGTGAGATGTGTTCAAGCACATATAAGTAAGTTCATACTTTGCAAGTCCCAAAGGACAAACAAAATATACTTTCAAGCAAAGCGTATTACTTCACTTTGCCAAGTAAAATGCTGAAATATTTTATGCTCTCCCTGTGTCTTTTTACCAGCTTCTAAGAGTTAGTCTTTCTTTAAGATTGTGAGGAATATATTGAGGATTAACTGTTTTCTTCACTTTTCTTTTTTTTCAGAATGTGTGCTTTATTACACCACAATTTTTATATCAGTTCTTCTGTTTGTTTTCACAACAGGTAAGTACTGGATGCTTTATATGTTGGTAAATGTATTGATATTAGCAATTAGTCATTATTAATTATTAATAGCTAATAATAAAATAAGGAGCTACAAAGGAGTGGCACATATTTTACACTTAGCAAATATCCAGCTTCATTTCCTGTATTTGATAGTTTGATATTACTAGGTGGTTGTGTGAATACAGGTTTTTGCCTAACAAGTAAATTCATCTAAGTAATGATCTGTTACTGCTGTTTACAGTGCATAAACAAACACCTTTGTTCTGTACAAGACTCAGAATAATTTTTGTTCTCCTTTCCAGACGCTCTATGACAGTGTATACCTGACTTTGTACAATATTTGTTTCACTTCCCTGCCTGTCCTCATATACAGTCTGTTTGAGCAGCATGTGCATCCGCATGTATTGCAGAGTAAACCTGTGCTCTATCGGTATGTACAGCTTCCATATGTTCTCCCAGCAGCACATCAGAGCAGTAGTGGCCTCTGCAGAAGTCTGAACTTGCTGTTAGGACTTACTGCCTTATTTTTATCTGTACTTTAGGCATTTTTAGTAACTATCTTCATGAGGAATCATTGCAGCTACATAGCTTTCATCCTAAAAGTTAATTACAAGAGTATTTTAAGAGAAACATCTTTTGTGTCGGTCATGTTAAGAATGGAAGAGCATTGAGCACTTGGTTAGCTTACAGGATTGGCAGCCTCCTCCATTACATGCAGGAGGTGAAAATCACTCAGACGTGCAGATGAAAAACTAGGGCACTGTGGTTAGGGGAATCACCACAAAAAAGTCCTTTATTAAGAGAGATGATCTCCTGTAGAATTAGATGTCCTCCCAGTGGTAGCATGTTGCACTGCATAGTGCTTTTTGAAGAAAAGGATGTATTTCTGTTAAAAGAGATGTCTCTCAGATGTTTCTCTTCTCGTAGAGGTCTTTTAAGCAGTACAAGGGGTAAGTATCAGGAGATCTGGCTTTTTCTTCCTCGTGCAATTCCACCTCCAGGGACAAGAATTCTAGTTTGTGCTATTCTGAATGTGACCCATTAGAGACCCATGCCATTGGTGACTGCTGCTTAAAGCAGAGCCAAGGCACGAGAGCTCAGAGTTCTTTTTGTGCCCATGATTTATGCATTCTTTTCACATCAGCATTTGTTATGTGTCTCAGTGCAGTGGAAAGTTTCATTTATTCAAAGCAGTAGCAGTCATGCAGTGAGGGTAGCTGGTTTATATAAAGACCATATGAAATCCAAAATCTGTTTTATTTCTGCAGAGACATCAGTAAAAATGCCCATCTGGGGTTTAAACCATTTCTTTACTGGACCATCTTGGGCTTCTTTCATGCATTTGTTTTCTTTTATGGCTCGTATCTTCTAATGGGAGAAGACACTTCTCTGCTGGGAAATGGCCAGGTACAGTATCATGAGTATTATTCTGCTGCTGTGCTTTTGGTGATATTTCTTCAAGTGGCCAAAAAATTTTGTTCCTGTGAACTACATAATTGTCCAAGATCCATTGTCAATATTTGGTTGTGCTCTCAAGAGTAACGTTTCTTAGTGTGGAAGTTTTAAGACATGTTGTCAGAAAGTGTATGTCCATGAAGAACATATCTTTCAAGATAATAAATGTATAATGGTTGTCTTAAACTTTGTTTTGTTTCGTATACTGTTTTTGTCCAAATTGTATGTCATAATGTCAGTAGATGAGAATTTATATTCGCTCATTCAAAACTCATTTTGAATTGGACTTAATTGCAGTGTCAGGCAGTAGCTTTTCTTTAGTAGCTGCAACTGAGACTTAAATCTGAAAGTTGTAAAAAATTCTTAAATCTTCTCCTGAAAATATATTCGTTTAATCGCTCAGAATATTTTAAAATCTAGAGGTGCAAGCTTCTTTCAAATTATACTTCTCATTCAATAAATGTTTTTAAGACCATAACTTAATGAAATTGTCAGATACTAATTTGACACTTTCTAGTTTGAATATGTTAAAGTTCACAGGAAAAGTCGTTTAATAAAAGCTCTAAAGCTTGGATGAAACCATTGCAAATCTGTTTTCTCATTTCCCCTGGTTCTGAGTTATTTGAACCAACTTAGAACAATTAGATACTGATTTTTTTTCCCTCATTAAACATAGGTAGTAAAGTAAAAATACATTTGCTTCTCATTATGCTATTCTTAATACTGACATGAAGTACTTGCTGATTCTCATCTACTGCTTGACAGAGTTGGGAAGGTATGGCCCAAGGTACAGAGAGAGCATCATGCTGAATTCACAGAGGTTACCTGGTGATGGGGAGTGTGCATGAGCTCAGGAAGTTTAGTCAAAACTACAGTTGTGTACAGACAGTGGACAGAATTGTCCTGAGTGACTGAAACCAGAGAGCTTGGGGTTGGCAGCATCCCTGCAGAGAGAGGAGCAGTGAAGAGGAAGTGGTGCAGCCAGCTGGAGTACCTATTTCAGCGTGGCATGTTTGATAAGAACAGCAAAATAGTTGTTCTTTAGACTAAAATGTTTCTTCCAGCTGAGGTATGAGTGTGTCCTCTCTTGTCACTTGTTACCAGCTGTGTGATTTGAAGTTCTTGTGAATTGGTAAAAGTCCTTCAGGACCCTTCTAATGAGGTAATTTTAGTCTATGAATCAGTGTGTTTTGGTGCATCCATCTTAAGTTTTCAAAGCACCTCACTTCAAAATTACTTAGTAAATGTCCACAAGGCAGAAACAGACTTACTTTGTTGTATTTAGTAACAGCTTTAGTTTGAGGAATTGGCAGATGCCCTTTGGCTTCTCATGTCATGTGACTTCAGACTCTTCTCTTTTGAAGTTACTCCCCTAGTTGTTTGCTAAATGATGATTATTGGAACTGGTAGAACTGTGTGTTGCAGTAAAATATCTGCAGTGCATAAAGTTTGTTGTAAATTTAATGTGTGCCTGAAAAAGCCAAAATTAAGGGCAAGAGAAACTTGTGTACTCCTGAAGTGCTTTCTGAGTCCTCAAGAAGTGATCACCTGTACAAGTCTGTGATACAGGGTAGTGTCAGTGCAAGGCCTCACATTTCCATTCCAGGTTCTCAGTTCAGAGCACAGTAGAATAGGAGAGATTGTAAATAATTTGTTAATACTGCTGGTTTGTTAGGTTTACCTCAACACATTGTCCAACTACTTGATCTTTTAGTTCTTTTTTCTTCCCCCTTTCTCATGCTGTGCATGCCGTCAGATATTGAAACCTAACAGGCAAATGGTAAGAGTTTAGAAGAGGAGGAGATACAAAATATTGTATCTGTTACTTCACAGGATTAAAGGATGCAGCATCCACGGTGTAAATGTGTTCAAAAATACAATGGTGGCAAGAACCTGTTTGTGTTTTGCATTCTAACTCTGTGACCATTGAGAGCAGTGTTAGCAAAGACACTTTCTTTCACAGGGCTCTCAGGAGAAGTTTAATTTTACTTCTAAGATTATTATTGCAGCAGTTAACAAGAAGCACATTATTTGCTAACCATTGCTGTCAGTGTGACAAGTAAACAGAAGGCCTCAGATGATGTGCTGTAGCACAGATCTATAACATTATCAGTAAATCCAGACTCATGACTGCCTCAGTTTTGTACCCTGTGTATCGATGAGAGAGGCAGTTGTGAGACCTGTCATCAGGCTGTTGGGATTTTTTTGTCAGAGCTCTGTAACAAGAACTACAACTGTGTGAATCCCAGTTCCGTGCCTCTATGCCCTACTGACAAATCAGCCCTAGGATGACTCTGGTTGCCTGTCTGCATGTGGTACCTTCCTCCTTGCTTGCTTAGTCTGCTACTGGGAAATACAGAGTGGAGGATTTGGTCATTGTTCAGTTTGTCAGTGGCAAAAGTAACTGTGAAATAGCAACCTCTTCCGTTTCAGCTCCCAACCTGCTTACAGGAGCAGAGCAGTGGGACCTGATATAGAATGGCAGCTCTGTTGGAGTAGCATGTGTGTAGATACATACAACCTCAGCATCCCTGCTTGGTTGTCAGAGCTGAGATTTTATTGTTGTAGAACTTGTTCAGAGTTTTGATAGTTTAATTTACTTGCACAAGAGAATACAAAAGCGACAGATTCAGTGGTTTAGAGTTGAAACTTAATTTTGTCTTCATTAGCCTTGAAACAAAGTGTCTTTTCCTAGAATTTTCTTTGAAAAATACAATGGCACCATTATTTTTGAATTTTAAAATTGTGCTTGGGGTAAAAGTGAACCTTCAGGTGATGCTGCATGTTGAAAATTACCTGGAAATGTTTAAACTCAAAAGTGTTTTGCACTTATGTTAAAGTCAATACCTTCCACCCAATGTTTCCTTTCTATTGGTTTCTTATAATTAATTGATCAAATTGATACCTTCATTTTCCTATCATTTCATGTTACTGTTTTAGACTTTTTTTGTACTTCATGTAGCCTTTGTGGTGATTTGTTTTGAACCAAGAAGAAAGATGACTTGTGGGTTGTTAATTTTGCTCTTATCATAAGCTGTATTTTGTTCTGGTAGTTTGTGTTGTATCCTCCTTGCTTTTTCATGACAATTACTTGTCACAAGCTTATGTCTACAGACTTATTTCTTTAGCATAGCTGACTTGAGAAGAATCTAACTTACCATGAATGCTCTTAACTGATTTTTGCCTTGCCATTTTCTCAGATGTTTGGAAACTGGACATTTGGTACTTTGGTCTTCACCGTTATGGTTATAACTGTCACGATGAAGGTATGAAGTTACACTAAGTACTCTCACTGTTTGGCTATAAAAGCAAATATGTAATAAAGCAATAATTTAACTTCTGAATCCATTTTATACAGAAGTAATTGATTTTTGAGGGTTCCATATAAGTGACTTTTATGTTTAGTTTCAACAGTGGTTGAAATTTTGCTTTCATTTTGTGTGTTTCAACAATGTGTAGTGTTTGGGCTGGAATTTCATAAGTATGTTCAGACTGGTGTTTATCATTTTCTGTGAAGTGGATGGTAAAAGGAAGCTCATTGAAGTTATATCTATTTTAGATGGCACTAGAAACTCACTTCTGGACATGGATAAACCATTTTGTTACATGGGGATCCATTGTATTTTATTTCATATTCTCCTTGTTTTATGGGGGAATTATCTGGTGAGTGATTCTTTTTTTTTCCCCCATTCTATAGCTGCTTGATGTAAAATAAGATACACTTGAGACAGCCTGTGCTGTACTTTTGTTTCCAGAAGTTCCTTTTAGTAATTGCCACTTCTTTTAACTTTTCAGGCCATTTTTACATACCCAGGACATGTACTTTGTATTTGTTCAACTGTTGTCAAGTGGTTCTGCTTGGTTTGCCATAATCCTCATAGTAGTTGCTTGTTTGTTTATTGATGTTGTGAAGAAAGTGCTGTACAGACATCTACAACCAACAAGTACTGAAAAAGCTCAGGTAATGTTTTGCTTTTGTATCTAACTTGCCCAGTAGTTCTCCTCTTGCATTGCTGTCATGTTTAATGAGTAGAAGTGTTCTCATTTCAAATTATAATTGTTCCTTTAAGCTTACAAAAGTGAGGACACCATTTTACAAGGCAGTAATGTTTATGTTTAAGTAACTAATAATAGCAAGATCAGAATCATTTATGAAAGGGCCACTCAGTCTTTTGCATCTCAGCTTGCAGCTGTATGAGAGGGTCATACTACACGTATTTGTACTGTTTTAAAGGTGGCAAATTATTCTCATTTTTGTCTAGGTATTAGAAGCTAGAACTGTAATTGGCACTGAATAGTTCTTAAAATGTGATGGAAACAATAATTTTACAAATTACTTTATTGGGACTTGTTTTAATTGGTGTTTCATACATCTTGATCACATCACATGCCGTGTGTTTGATGATTCTGTAATTAAAGCTAATTACCTGTGTGGCATTTTCACAGATCATAGACGAAGTCTGTGCTGTGATGAATCTACCTTTTGCCTGACATAGGCTACAAAAAAATCCTTTCAATCATTCTGTTGAAATTAGTCTGTCTTTTAGGTAAATATCTTGTCTCTGAGTGTTTTCTTCTTTTTAGTGACAATTAGGAGAAGTTGTCTTGACCCATTGTTCTAACAGTGACTGTCTCTCTGGTTTCAGTTCTCAGCATTTTCTCATTTTAAACTCTCTTTGCTAAACTGAGAATCCTTCTCTTACAGTTTTTCTGTTCATTCACAATTAGGTTTGTGATCAAGTTAATTTTTGCACTGATAGGTAGATTGGACTTGCATCTTTTGTCAAAAAGGTTGTTTTAAAGTCTTTTCATTATTCTTGTGTTTCTCCTGTAATCTTCACCATTCCTCAACCTCTGCTTGAATTTTGGATTGCTCCAGTGGCTGCAGTATTCCAGCACAGCTGGCATCAGTGCCAAGTATGGGAATAATGAATCCCCCAGCTGTATTCAGTGTACAGCACACAATGCATCAATAACGTGTTGTCTTCTACATCTCCTACTCATCTGCAAGTGATGATGTTGGTTTCTTTCAGGTCATTGATGAGAGGTCAAATAGCATAGGACTAAAAAAAAAAAAAGTGAAAGTGAATGAAAACAAAAGACATCCCACATATAGTTATGTTCTGAAACCTGTTAGCAGTTTTTAGTCCATTTGTGTGACAGATTGATTTTGTGGTGTCCTAGTTGCTTAATCCAAATGACACTGAGCTCTGTGCCATGCAGAACTCCTGACTGCATTGCATCAGTGCTGTTATCTTTAGCATCTAACCTTGTAATTGCATTGATGTAACTGCATGTTGATTTATTTAAATTATATTACCCTTCTAATTTGTACGTTAAAAAAAAATTCTACGTGGGATGTTCTCGTAATTTGCCTAGGATCAGCATCATGCTGACATGCCTAGTGCTAGTCAGAATATCCCAGTAGTCCCATTTCAGAACTGGACTGTTAGCTGCTTTTTCCTGTCTTGGAATTTAGGAGCTAAAAGCCAAGGTAAATAACCACTAGCTTTCAGCTAGACCTGCTAAGGCTCTGGGTTACAAGTTACTGCTCTTCTTGGATTAGTCTTGATGTAGGAAAAATGCTATAGCTAATGATACTTACCTATCTTTCTTACTCCCTTCAGAAACTAGTGCCAATATTCTTCAAACACTGCCCTTTCCTCTCTTCCTGTACATCAACTGTTTGACAGTGTTTCGGGGCAGTTGTTGAGGTTTTTTATGTTCCTAAAATGCTCAAATTAAAACCCCAAAAGCCGCATGATTTTTCCCTGCCTTTATCTTTAAACTTCTTGCTGCATTCTTTTGCTTCCTGAATCAATTCTAATGAATTTTTGGGCTCTGTTTGCTTCCATTACACTTGTGTTGTCAAGGACTCAGTAGAACTTATTATTAAGAAGGAATCTTGATGAATGTCTAACACCTTTCCTGTGGCTATAGTTGGATTCCTAGCCATGGGGATTTTGCTTTGTGCATCTCTGTTAGTCATCTTTTTTTATTCCTTATTTGCTCTCTACTTTGCATTGACAGAGTCAGCATTAGGGTCTGTGTTTACCAAAATACTGTCTTTCCTTCTAGACACCCTTAATTCCCAGCACTGTGAAGTCAAGGTATCTAAAATCTGATTTGACCAGAAAATCTTCCGCAGCCATCCTGTGGTTTCTCTGTGTCTGTGTGATAGTGAAATCAGACTTAAAGATGTATTTGTGAGAAGAAGGCACTTTTTCCTTTCTTGAGGTGTAACCTGTTGAGAATTTCCCATTCATGATGGGACAGTCAGCTCCACTGAATTTTGTCCACTATTCCTGTAGCAAGGAAGTAGACATAAGTGAAGATGAGCAGATGATCAACTTTGCACATTTATTGTGAAGTGACAGAATGCTTCTTTCCTGATTATTCCTCATTAGATTGATTTAAAATTTCTAGTAAATATTTTTACTTTTGTTTCAAAGGAGAGGAAGGGACTCTGACTTTCAGATAGAAAGGGTTTGGAGAATGTCTTTGTCCTAAATGCTAATGATGATGACTAATGACTAATGCTAATGACTTATGTGGAAGTCATTGAAAGAGTAAATGTGGAACTTTGTATCTTCCCCTTTTAAATGTTGTTTTCCATAGTGTAGGTGCACCCTGTGTGTAGCTGAGTATTTTAAATTATTAATTTTAAATTGTAGGACTAAATTAGTATGTTTTCATATTGAGGGAAAGAAAAAGTTTAGTTTACAGTTACCACATTTTTATCAGGACAAGATAAATTGTTACATGAACCAGTCACTTGTTTTTAAATCACAGCAAATGAAGACATTTCCTTCTCTCTGCCATCATTTAAATTCTGAACTATTCCCAGGAGCAATGAGCAAAACAGGTTTCTCAGCTGAAAAAGTTTGCCCCTGTGGTTTTAATTTTTCAGAAACCAAGAGCACATGAGTTGGGCAGCTTACCCAGCTTAGTGCTCTGAATTCACTGGATCTGTAGGCATCTGCCTTACTCTGCTTAATACATAAGGATGTTGATTTTGTATCTTTTTCTTGGTATAAGGTCATAGCATCAGCAGTCAGTCTGTCTCTGATCAATTAAGTGCTGCATGTAGCTAAGTTATTCATAAGAGAGCAGAGAAATTTAACTGATATGAGAGAGAAACACTTGATAAACTTGTAAATGTAAATATTGTTCTGTCACAGCAACTGTCTCATTTTGGGAAATCAGTGTATTAAAAATTTGACAGACAAGCATGAGTTGACTTCAACTTCTCAATGCACTTAAGGTGAATGTGTGTTATTTCACTTTTACTGTTTTCCAAGGCTTTTTTTGCTGGCCTAAAGAAAAACCATCTTATGTTTGATTGAGGTCAGCTGCCCTAAAGTAGATTATGGGTGATTTCTCACTAGAAGTCTGTTACAGGGTCATGTAGGAGGAAGTGGACAGAAAGGTAAATGTGAATCAAAATATAAATCTTTGGGTAAATATAAATCACGGCATTATTGAGGGGAGAAAGTAATACAGAATAAAGATGTCTGGTAAAATACAGTTGTAAAAGTGTATAGGCCTTTTTTCTCAGCATGAAAGCAAAGGTAGAGTTAAGAATGGTCCTACCAAACAATAACTGGCTGTGATGATCCCAGGAGCTGTCTCGAAGGTACCAGGCTTGTGTTCTGTATATGATGTGTATTCCACTTGAATAACAAATGTCTTGTCCTGTGTCTTTCTCTTAGAAGATTACTGCTGCTACTTACTGACATGTATGTTCCATCCCTTCTCTGTCCAATTGTAGATGTACTCCAACAGAGTTGCTTTAAGTGACGAGTTCATCGCACTGCAGCCATTGTCCAGGGCAAGGAATCAGCTGAGCAAAATTAGGTAGAGTAGGAGGGACAGTTCCTCATCAACTCTTATGCATGCTAAAGGTGAACTAACCAGTGCTGAGAGAGATGGGAAGAGGCATGAATATTAGTGGGTTGAGAGGGCAATACTTGTAGTGCAGAAACATTCAGTTTGGTTATTTCTTGGCTTTGCTCTGTGTTTTTGAGCCAAATGCTTCTCCTAAGTAGCATGTGTTGGACGTGCTTATTTGTTTTCCAGAAAAAACATCCCTAGCATGATGCTCAACTTTCAGAATACAGATCTAGCTATTCTTGCATCCATTTTTAAAGAATCATAGTTTCTAGCATGGTTATAATGCGTTTAATTTGTTTTTGATAAAAATTAACAGTGCTTTTTGCATGCTGGATTATTTCAGCTTCATGAGGCCGTGACAGGAAAGTTCATGTATTTCAGGGAGCAATTTCTTGCAAGTTGTTTGCCCATTTTAATTTGCTTTCACTTGTGTTGAAAGAGCAGAAAATATTTTAAGCTTGGGTGCATACATACCCTTGTGCAGCTAAGGCTTTTTGTGTTTGTTTTGTGCAGCTATAAAGTGAGTGTTGTTTGTTTTCAATGTGTATAGATACATATTCCTAAAGGCATTTGGCTACAAAGTCCCAGAAAATTATTCAAGAAAAGATCAAAGTGTACATGTGTCTGTGTAGGTAAAACATGATTCTTGAAACTCTTCAAATGCACCAAGTTTAGTACATGAAATGCTGTCAAGTGCTGGTTCTCTTTCTAAGACTGAAGCACTCATACACATCCGCGATGTCTCAACCTGTTTGATGCTTTATCCCACCAGTAGCTACTTCTACATTGTATAGAAGAATTAATGCAAAGATCTGATTCCTTTTATATATTTTGAAGGTGACTTTGTTGTTCAAAATGTACAAATAGGTGCAAGGAGAACCAACCAGCCTACATTTGGGACTTAACTGCTGTTTGTTTAACTGAAAGAGAAAAGTTTTGTATTTCCTTAGAGAGTCCACTACACCTTTACAAGGCAAAACTTGAAATGGCCATTGTGTTTAGCTGTTAGCAGTCCCACTGTGAAACATGTCACCTTAGATTTCCAAACACCCAGGGAGATAGTGGTGG